AGAGCGTGTTTTATCCTGATTGCTGAAAAATTATCCACCTTTACTTGTGTGAGTCAGGCAGGTTTCAATATATATGTGTATTAAGGGTTTTTTTTAAAATCTGTGAGTAACAGTTCTATTTTTTCCTCAGTCCTTAAGTACAAGCAACTACTGCTTGCACAACCCTTGCCATGAGTTGATGAGAAAGCTCTTTACAAATGGGATGGCTGCCACTGCCCCATTACATGCATTCAGGAATGGCAACAAAGGAGGTGGGAGTAATTTTGTCTTGTTTTTACCATCTAAAGTCAAACTGGTCATTCAGGCTCACACCACATCAAAGGAAGAGAAGCACAGTTCATCACATTCTGGAGGAGCTTTGTTCTATGTGTATGTCATGTCTATTCAGTTAAATAGCTTAATCCTCCTGCTCAGTCCCAAGTCCTGGACCCCCAGATCAGATAGGCCAGATTTCTTTGCTCTAAATGCTTGCTTTTGGAGGCTAATTACTTCCATCAGAGAAATAACCCATTTTAGTCTGGAGGACAGCTTACTGAAGGAGCTAGCACAGGAGGAATTAAGGGTGACAATACACCAGGTCTAGCTTTCCACATCATAAAGGGTCCTCCAGTGCTGTCCCAGTAGCAAGGTTACCAAAAGCACCCACATGCCCATGTCTTGCTCCAAAAATGTGATACACACTTCATGCAGTTAAATGCTGCTCTGGTGAGCTGCAACACAGACCTCACGTTATAGCAGACAATTTTGAGTGGAGAAAACAATCAATTGCCACATGGCATGTCGATGTGTGGGCAAAGTGCTTGAAGTATGGATGCGACTTTGTGGGTGTAGACAGGGGTGGCTGTGTGGGTGCTTTGGGGACAAGAGACCTGTCCAAGATGTTGGGTGTCTTTGGCAGGATAGATGCTGTCCTGTTGGCCAGGGAAGTGCTTACCTGCTGAGCTGGGCTAGATGTGTTTCAGGCAGCTGACAGATGGAGCAGATCTCACCTGACATGACTTGCACAAGGTCACTCAGCAGGTGTGTGCCAAAGCTGGATACTAAAGCCAGGCCCGTGTGGTACTCCTTAGGACATGCCACCTCCCCACACAGCTTTGTGAAATGCCTGGGTTAAACGCTGCTGCCTTTATGCCCCCCATGAAGTGGGTCTGGGTGGGCAGTGCTTAGTAATGTGGGTATGTGAGGATGTGAAAGCAGCCATGCCTGCAGGATGAGAGGAAAAAAAACATGGGAAAAATGGTTATTTTCCTAGATTTTGCAAAACACCATAGATAAGATCCTGTTGTGCAGCAAAGGCAGCAGGTGCTTGTCAGTGTCAGAGTGTTCATAGTGGCCTTAACTGATCCTTTACAAGCCACTAAACCACACAACATTTCTGAGCGTGCTGCAGCAGTGTTTCTTTGCATTCCAGTTCCTATGGAAACATGCTGTAAGAACATCTAAAATAAGTACAGTGCTTTGAAACTATTATTATTTTGATCTTTCCTTTCCCTGCAAAATCTCATTTACCACCTTTCTGGCTGAATTTTCAATACATTAAAAAGGTTGCTGTTATTATCTGGCAACAGAAGGCTACTCAGCTTACCAGGTTTCTGCATCCTGGGAACTGATGGGTTCCAGGTTCTGATATTGAAATCAGCTCTACCTCCCCACTCAGTGGGGTGGCAAGTTGTCAGTGCAAGTGCCAAACATATATGCATGTGTGTGTGTATACACACACTGAAGGAGGCTTGGCTCTAGCTCCCTTACTTCCCTGTAGTGAGTAAGACAGTGTTGTTTGCCACAACAGGTGAAGGCACAAGTTTATTCCCAGCTCCTTTTAGGATCCGTGGCATAGAGTTGGCTGGGAGGGAGAGATTGGAGGTCACCTAGTTTAGCTGACCATTGAAGCAGAACTCTCTACTTTGTTGGTGCACGAGAGGGTTGTGAGCCAGATGGAGACATCCTGCAGGTCCCCTTTTCCCCGTGGGAGGGTCAGTGCTGGAGCAGGCTATGGGCTGTTTGGAGCAGCTATTGCAAAGGAAATTACTTGTTCTCCCCAAAAGAATGCTCATGCAGATAACTGAAAACAGGGCTGTGTATTTAAAGTGCTTTCCTCCACTTCTCCTCTGGATTCCTTGTAAAGCTTTTGTCTCCCTTGGAGCAGCAGGTTTCCTGGCTTTAATGTAATGTTTAAGATTTTTAAACAGCCATGTCCCATTTTCAAAAAAAAGACTTTTTTGATAAGAGAACTTTAGGAGACCTAGGGCTAAATCCTATAGAGGACTAGAAAGTCTTATTTAAAGCTAGGTGCTAATTTTTGCTCACTTTCAGGCACCCGGCCCCTTGCAGTACTACGCCTCAGAGCCCAGTGCTAGATACCAGGAGAAGAGCTGGAGATGCATGTTTGGCATTCAAGGGGGAAGCAGGCACTGAAACTCAGAAAAGAAATTCAGGAATTTTTAAGCGGTGCCAAAACCCTTTGACATCCTTATATGCTGGATACATATATCCCTTGGTATCTGCATTCCCTGAACATCTTCTGCTCTAGGGATCTAGGGATCTACACACCTGTTTCCATATGGCCCTGCCAGATCCCAACAGTGGAGGTAACAACAAAAGCAGGTTTGAAATAAAAAGGAGTTGACACAGGAGCAGTAATTTTTATGACTGCGTATCTCAGACAAAATAAATTACAAAGAGTCATGGTAGTATGGATCTAGCTGACGTTATGCTTTAACATTAAACTACGTCTTAGCCATTTGAGAAGTATGGGCATCTGTTTGAATCTATTCCAAATTATCAGGCCAAATTCTGCTCACAGGGTTAAATCTGCAGAGCCAGTAAGCAGCTGCTGTGTAATTATGCATCCTGCTTTATGCTGCTGAATGCTTACTCTTTGCATGATGTTTTATGTGTTTGTGATAACTGATCTGGCAACCCAGGTCTGTTTTATTTTGGTGCAACACTGAAGGCCAGTAGAAAAAATATGAGTCTAATCTTAATGGACAGAATAAAACTTTATAGGCTGTTTTCAGGGTTGCTGTCCTAGTGGAGTTAAAGCACTCATTAACTGAGCAGAGAAGTTAAACTGAAAATGCTGGTCCAAAAAAAAAAAGTTGTGTAGCTTGGCATTTGCATTTCATGTCTGCAAAGATCCTTCCTTACTTTAATGATAAGCATTGAGTCCAGCACTGAAGTGAGTATCAAGAGAGATGAGAATTGTGAACTGTGGAACAGCAGTGGATTCTAAACAGAAATTGCTCTGTTTTAACATGGATAGGCAAGGCTGAGATTTTTATTGTGAGGGCTCTGTTTGACTGCCTTGGAGCTGGGCCAGGGTAGGTGTGTAGCCTTTCTAACCCAGCTGATAAGTTCATGGGTATGCACAATATGTAGGTCATTCACATTTATTCTGAGTAGCCCAGAAAAAAATGTAGCAAGACGTCAAAATATGTTGCATTTCAGCCCCTTTCATTGTAGCAGATTGCTCTCTCCCACTCCTCGTTCATCTATGCACTTTATGCTGACAAAAACCCCAACAAGGTATCACCTAATGTGCATGTATAGCTGATAAATTAAATGCTAAATAAGCAGCTGCACTGATGAGAGAGTGAGAGGCAGTTAGAGATGCCCTGCAAGTATGAGGGACAGGGTCTCTGAAATAAGGAATTATCAACACCTTTACTAAATCATTGCAAATTTGTTTAGCAGTCGTGAGAATTTTGGAATTATCTTCCATTTGAGAAGGGTAATGTTGCAGTGATTAAAATAATTATTCTGGCATATGCCGTTAGATAATATTAAATTCTGACCGTAGTCAAGTAATTGTTAAGCTCTCTTAAGAGAAAAATCATAAGTTACCTTGAAGGTAGTGGGCTCAGGAGGAATGTACTTGTGGTTCAGTAAAGGAAAATCATAGAACATAAAAGTGATTTTTAAAGGTGACACTATTAA